TAATTTTTGTTATACTTATACCTACTGTTTAGGTATCATAATGGGTAAAAAACGTAGGCGTACTGACGAAGATACCGAATTTGATTTGACCAGAAAAGCGAAAGAAGTAAAAGACGACAATGAAAAACGTCTAATTGTTATTTTAGAAAACGCTCAGTTGGAAACTGTTAAAGTAATTCAAACGTTGATTGATTAATCGACATTGTAATTTTTAAATATAATTTATTATAAACTTCACAGGTAGGAAAGTCTTTTGAACTATTAAACCCTGATGAACACGCACATATATTACGAAAACACGGCCGAGAGATAGGAAATTGTAGACCTGATATTTCTCATCAATGTCTTTTGATGTTATTCGACAGCCCCTTAAATCGTGCTGGTCTACTTCAAGTGTACATTCACACAGAAAATAATGTTCTCATTGAAATTAATCCACAAACAAGAATCCCTAGAACATTTAAACGTTTTGCTGGTCTGATGGGTAATAATAAATTGTGATTTATATGCACACAATAATATATTACATTGTGAATTATTTTATTGTTACTTTTTAGTTCAGCTATTGCATAAATTTAGTGTAAGAGCAGCAGAGACTTCTGCCAAATTAATGAAAGTAATAAAAAATCCAATCACCGATCATTTACCTGCAGGTTGTCGAAAAGTGGCAACTTCTTTTTCTGCTGAAAARCCTATTAAGCCATCTGAACTTGTTCCTCAAGATGCTCCAATTGCTTTTATTGTTGGAGCAATGGCTCATGGACAGGTACTGCTTAATGATTGTTAATCATTTTAAATTTTAATGATAAACTAACTTAAATTTATTATGTCATAGATTAAAGCAGATTATGCCGAACAAACGGTAGCAATAAGTAACTATCCACTTTCAGCCGCATTGACATGCACCAAGATATGTTCAGCTTTCGAAGATAGTTGGGGCATATTGTAAGATTTTACCTACATGTAATTAATATGTTTTTTTTTTCTTATTAAATTGTTTTGTATTCATATTCCCAAAACTAACTTTCCAACTTAATGTGAAGAATTTTAAAAATAAATACAATTTTAAGATTTTTGTTAAAACAAGATATTTCAATCTACTGAACTAATTTAGATTTAAATACAGAAATCTGTATGTCAGGCCTGACTCAAGGGTAGGCCACACCTAAATAAATAGGTATCATCACATTAATATTGTACTCGTCCAAATTAGCTCACTATGTCTATTGTAGTTCTTGTTATTTCAT